CGCTTGATTCATCGATTTCGTGATCGGACGCCATTGACGCCCGATTTAATTTATCGATAGTACCGGCTCCGTCACCAGCGGTGTAGCTATTCTTTCTTTTGGGTCCTGGGAGGAGAATACCTTGCGAGTGGTCTGACTTGTCAATCGCCATTTTTAACACGTTGCATTAGCAAAGCGCGCGCCCTGGACTGAGCCGGCTTTGCGGGTTTCCTAATATGATAGCATTGAGTCACTAATTGTCACAGGCAAGACAAACCTATCTCCACAATCTCCTAATGCCTGCTCCTGCTGTGAAAAGTCTTGTGCTTACTCTTGCGAAGTAGCAACGATGTCTTCAGGCTGCAATGAAGTGAAAGCATTAAAGCAATTAGATGAACGATTGTCTGCATTGGGTCCTGAAGTGCTGCACTTTATTTTGTGCCGTGTTATCTCGAAGGCTTGCAGGCCTGTGTCGAAATGAGACGGTTATGGTGAGTTATTTTCTAATCCTCGAGAATATGCCACGCAAGAACAAATCAGTTGCGAAATTAATGAGTCCATGTACCGATATTTTTACCAGCAAGGCTACCTCATGAGCATGCAATGCCGTTGTATCCGCTAAGTCTCTTGACATCTTGGACTTACCCTATAAACCTCGCAAAATATTTGCCTACAACGCTATAATTTATGCTTGTCTGGGGCACATAATTTCCACCGAAATAATTTCACTGCCTCAATGGGAAGCCTTTTAGAGTACGATGTCCACTGAGGTGACTCCTATCCCACAATGGAAATTGACCGCACCAAGCTGCACCTTTACTTCCAGTACATGACGTGCATAATGGCAGCAGCCTGAGCCTGCTCTCACTCCCACATACCGGAAAACGGCCCCTGCACTTGCATCAAACTTAAGGCACTTGCATCTCTGACTTGAAGTACTTGCATCTGGCTACGCGAATGCAAACAATGCCAGTTTAGCCTCTGGGCGGCCTCGGGCCTCGGTGCAGATAAGCGGCTAGGTTCCGCACCCTCCGCGACTGTTTGAGCTTTCAGGGTACAGCACCGCGGGTTGGGATCAGTGCACCACGCCGAACGCTCGCCGAGAGATGCACTGAGCCGGGGAGACGCGAGGGGTGCCGCCGACTCAGCATGGCGCTGCTGGATGAGGCACGCACGGCACGCCGTCCTCCCTCGGCGGCATGAAACATGCACACCCTCTGACGGAGCGTCGGCGTCGGCGATCGGGCGTGGGCCGTTGGCTTGACGGCTGGGACCGCACCGGCTCCGCTCCAGCACCTGGGACCGCCCGGGCTCCTCCCCGACGCTTGGGAAAGCCCCGGCTTCTCTCTGGCGCCTGGGACCGCCCCGGGTATTCTCCGACGCCTGGGACCACCTCGGCTCCTTTCCGACGCTTGGGACCGCCCCGGCTCCTCTCCGACGCTTGGGAAAGCCCCGGTTCCTCTCTGACGTCTGGGATCCCCCCGTTCCTCTCCGACACTTGGGACCACCCCGGTTCCTCTTCAGCTTCGGCGTCTGGGACCGCCACGGTTCCATTTCGACGCCTGGGACTGCCCCGGCTCCTCTTCGACGCCTGGGACCGCCCCAGTTCCTCTCCAACGTCTGGGACCACCCCGGCTCCTCTCCGGCGCCTGGGACAGCCGCGGATCCTCCCCGACGCCTGGGAAAGCCCCGGTTCCTCTCTGACGTCTGGAATCCCCCCGGTTCCTCTCCGACACTTGGGACTACCCCGGTTCCTCTTCGAGGCCTGGAACCGCCTCGGTTCCTCCCCGACACTTGGGAGTACCCCGGCCCCTCTCCAGCGGCTCCTCCGGGGCTCCGGCCTAGACCGCGACGCTCGGCTGGGACGTCTGGTCGCACGCGATGGGCAGACAAATGTCGGGACGATCGCAACTGCCAGGGGAGCTGTCAGGCTCTCATTTCAACGTGAACAAAATCGTCATTGTGATCTGACTTTGCCATTAGCCAGGGGCGGGCGTGGTATCACCCCAAATCACCCCAAATCACACCCGGGCCGAGTCAGTCGGCTTGGGGACCGACGGGGTGGAGGGGCCGGGGCGCGGATGAGATGCATAGGTAGCTTATATTGCGGCGGTTGAGGTGTGGAGGGGAAGAGGGGACGATGTTGGTCAGGGTACACCGTCCGCGCGCGCTTGTCTCCTACCGAACAGAGGCCTAGCAGCGAGCAGACTGCAGCTACAGCTGCAAGAGCAGCAGCGCAACACGAAGGAGAGCTAGGGCTGCGGCCCTTGTCCGCTGGGCCCGTCACTCCATGCCCTGTGCAGCAGCCCAGCATGGGGGAGGGCTATGGGTGCAGTCCTCGTCCGCTGAGGCGGCCGTCTGTTGGGCACGTCGCTCCATGCCCTGTGCAGCAGCCCAGCATGAGGGAGGGCCGGGGGTGAGGTCCTCGTCCGCTGAGGCGGCCGTCCGTTGGGCACGTCGCCCCATGCCCTGTGCAGCAGCCCAGCATGAGGGAGGGCTATGGGTGCAGTCCTCGTCCGCTGAGGCGGCCGTCTGTTGGGCACGTCGCTCCATGCCCTGTGCAGCAGCCCAGCATGAGGGAGGGCCGGGGGTGAGGTCCTCGTCCGCTGAGGCGGCCGTCCGCTGGGCCTGTCGCCGCGTGGCCGGTCCAGCGGCCGAGCTTGAGGGAGGGCCAGGAGTGCGGTCCCCGTTCGTCTCAGCCCGTCGCTGCGGGGCCGGTGCAGCGGCCCAGCATGAGGGAGGGCCGGGGGTGCGGTCCCCGTTCATCTCAGCCCGTCGCTCCGTGGCCGGGCACGCAGCCGCGCTGTCTGGCTCAGTGAAGCCCATTCATCAGCGAGGGCGGGCCTGATCGCAGCGATGGCCGATAAGGCAGGCCCGGCAGACGTGGCCACGACACTTCGCTAACGAGCGCCATCTTGATCGGCGCCCAGAAAAGAAACTGACTCGCGACACGGCACGTCATTACGTGCATGGTAATCTCCTGACAGGGAATTAGTATTGTTGTCAACCGAATCATGTTTTTTAAGTGTTCTTTCCAGCTGTGTCTTATGTTGGTGGAATGAAAGCCAGGCATTTCTTGCATATTTTGATGCTATGTTTCTTGGCCGCAAAAACTGTTGAGGGATTGACGTTCTCAATGCTTTTAGATAAGACGGCTTAAGTAAGTCGATTATTTGTTTGAACACGGCTTAATCAGCCTGTCAATCTCAGAACGTGGAGCGATTCGCTATTCCGTTTCTGTCAAACCTATACACCATAGCGCTTCAGCATATTATTGCATGCATCACGCATGAATGATGTCTGGTGTTTATCCACACTTTGCCTTCACTGGCTTACCTTGCTGAAACAACACGTCAACAGGCATTCAGCTTTATCTCCTGCTAACAAGTTACAAGCTATTTAGGCTCCATCCTCGTACATAACCTGTCCAATGGATTCACTTAACTAAAGCGGTCGAATAGGGGATGGGTATTCACATCTTGATGTGCATACCAATCGGGCTGCAAAGTCCCGACTGCTTATCTTAAGGGAGGAATTCATCCTCCGCTTAAAAAGACGATGTATCGTATGATATTTCTCTTTGGTGCGCAAAAACTATCTCGCCCAAAATGTATGTGCATCTCGAGTTTACCACGAATCCGGCTTGAGTCAAAACCGAATGTCCTGACAAATGGTGGGCAACCATCATGCAATAACTATTAGAAAAGACACCATCGCACAAATTCTATCCGATAAATATATGCATTAGTTTCAAGGAGCTACTTGTTTTTCAGACATACGAGCTACGCACCTAATTCACCTCGTCAAAAGACCAGCCGCCTGCCTTTCAAATAACACATTCTGATTTACAATTTCCGTGACCTAAAGGACGGAGGTTCCGTCTATGACAAACTTAGCTTGCTTTAGAAAGGGCCCGTCACTGCCAGTCGTGGCGCTAGTTGGCTGTCGCGTCGGATGCTGTTGTTGAGACCGTCATCCGCTTTGACGCAGCCGCAGCGAATGCGCTTAGCTGCTCCTGTCCCCCTAATCCCCTCTCTCTCTCTCTCTCTCTCTCTCTCTCTCTCTCTCTCTCTCTCTCTCTCTCTCTCTCTCTCTCTCTCTCTCTCTCTCTCTCTCTCACACACACACACATACAAGCTCTCCCTGCCCCTCTCGCTCCCTCTCTCTCGCTCTCTTTCTCACCCTCTCTCACACGCACGCTCTCCCTCCCCTCTCTCCCACCCTTTCTCTCCATCTCTTAGTCTGCCCCCTCTCCCTTTCTCTCACTCTCTCACGAGCACGCTCTGCCTCCTCCCCTCTCCCCTTTCTCTCGATCTCTTAGTCTGCCCCCCTCTCCCCCCCTCTCTCTCTCACACACACAAACTTTCTCCCTCCCCCTCTCTCTCCCTCTCTCTCGATCTCTTAGTCTTCCTCTCTCTCTCTCTCTCTCTCTCTCTCTTCCTCTCTCTCTCTCTCTCTTCTCTCTCTCTCTCTCTCTCTACTCTCTCTCTCTCCTCTCTCTCTCTCTCTCTCTCTCTCCCCTCTCTCTCTCTCTCTCTCTCTCTCTCTCTCTCTCTCTCTCTCTCTCTCCTCTCTCTCTCTCTCTCTCTCTCTCTCTCTCTCTCTCTCTCTTTCCGTCTGTGTCTATCTATATCATCATTGTCTCCCTTGTCCCTCCCTACATTTTCCCTCTTTCCCTCCCCCGTATACTTCCCTTCCTCTTTTCCATCTTTCCTTACTTACGTCTTTCCGTTCTTCATTTCTCCATCCCTCCCTTCCAGGATCCTTCTTTCACCTTCAGCTCTTCCTTACTTTTTATCCTCGTTCCCTTCTTTATCTTCCTCTCTTTCTTTCTCTCCTATCTCTTCCATTTCTTCCTTTTTCTATTTCTCTCTCCATGTTCCTCCACCTTCGCTCCAGACCGATTTGAGGATTTATATCACTGTGAATCACTAGCTAACGTCGCATGAAGTATATTCTGTCTCATGCAACAATTATATCGCAGGGTGGGTTTCGCCCTTAGGTGAGACGCAAATTCAAGCTGCATCAGTTTTTTATATATTATGCTCATGTTTCGCCTTGTCTGCATACAATCAAAAATGAATGTTTGTTAATTTTAGACGGGCTGGTTAACGTCAGCTCTGTATATGCGCAACAATAAATGGTTATTTCGCACAGATCACACCTACTAACGTACATCGAGCTCAAGAAACCCAGTAACATCGAAGGAAGCAGCTAATATTTTATGAACATATGATGGAACGCACAATGGAACAAGTACTCAAGTTTTCTGCCATTATGTTCTAAACTTCTAAGCTCCATCATTGTGTGATTATCATAAACAATATCATCACCGCACCAGGCACCTCGAGCTGAGAAGGGAACACATATTACCCCATATTAATTTAGACAGAATGCATTCTCAGAACTGGCATACAGCTTAGCAGGCTTCGACTCCGTAACGAATGTGCAGCTGGATGGTTTCCTCGCGACCCTTCATCTGTTCACTTCAGCCAGAAGCAAGTCACGTGCTATCACACGAGGCGAGTGATGCCAGCTGACTGGATGTATAACGCTTTTCTCGCTTCTTGGGTGACGAAAGCGCGATGTTGCGAACTTATCTTTTGAGATGATGATTCTGACAGTTTGGAGAACCTCGGCTTCACTAGGTGTGGAAAGATCGCAGTGGCGATCCCAAATCGGCTGAGCCTCTGGCGCGATGGGCCTGCGTTCAGTGAGAGGCCGTATCGACAGGTCACGGCTGTGTCTTGCGTTGAGTCCGATTCTAACGCATTGAACGCTGTTTGGTCGCCCGTCGACATAAGCTGCACGCGGCATCACACATACGTGACGCCACAGCCAGCAGCTCAGGCTCTCGGGGGAATGCTTCCAAGCAACGGTCACAGCGTCACCTCCAACCTCAACACGACTGCTGTGCCCGCAGCGTCCGTCTGTGTGGGGCACCCTCCTCACCGGGACACCGCGGGGTGGGTCGCCCCGAACTGCTGCCCCCTCCCCCTTTAACGTTTGCAGCTCCCCGGCGCACGTCCGTTCGCACACGGCGGCGCGCGCATTCGGTCCGAGTCGCGCCACCAATTGTCGCCGCTCGGGCAGCCGCGCCGCAATCGCCGCCGGAATGCCGGTGCCGTGAGTTCACGCCACCGCGCCGCGCCACACGTGTGGAACCCACTCTCCGACCCCTGTCACAAAAAGACGTCCCTGCACGCCAAGCCGGCACGGCCGCATTTTTCCGCGGCGCGCGGGCGGGCAGGAAGCACGCTCGCACCCCTCGCGCCGCGGCCCGCGCAAAATAAACATTTTTTATTTGACTTTAACGCCTAATTGGATTCTAGCCTCCATTTTATTGGAATGCGGGACGGTCAATATGCTTTTGCACCTACGTGAGGAGGATGCCGTCTGTAGTCAGGAGGGAGGACGGGGCGGCGACGTCTTGGCGCCATCGGGGAAGATCAATCGGAGGCGCTCCACAGCCGCGAGAGAGCGGCTGGGGACGACTGGACGAGGGGGAGGACTGGGGACGACCGGTCAGGCGATAACTCGCGGCAAGCCGGCTTGGAGAGAGCCTGCAAAAATGAATTTCTTAGTTGCACGACTGGAATGTCGTAAGAGCACTTCTCTAACCATATCCCCGGTTGCCAGTAGAAGAGAAAGTGACGAAATAGTGATATAATGATATGTTCATCATACACATATCTTTTCAAATAAGTTAGCACAATGAATGAATGAGCATGTACACCTTAAATGTTGTTAAGACGATGCATTGGTGTTCCGGATCTGGTAGACTTAGAGAGTGTTTTCCTTTACATATAGCTTCTTATTCTAAAATTTTCCAGGCACGTGATTTTTTTTTCGTGGAACGCTTCGAACTCTTCGTAAACTGATCTTGTTTGAAAACAAGTTTTCAGAAAGCTTATTGAGGATGATTGCATGTAATTACAATCATTGAAATGGTTGAAGGTACGTGAGGGCAAATACGCCTCAATAATGTATGTCGCACTAGATCCTGTTGCGAAGGTAGAAAATTTACAAACTAATGTGGGTAAGCTGGGGCAGCACCACCCATTTTGAGTTGGGGGAGGGGACAGGTTTTTCTAGGTGGCCTTGAGCAGAGCATGGGGCCTACTCGCAGGGGGTACTCTGGGCAGTGTTGTATTCAAGGAGAGGGACACAAAGGGCTTTTGCTCCCTTATGAATTAAACAAATCGTGAATGGGATGTTCTAATTATCTATAAAAGGGTCTCGTTGACCTAACACGGCTTTCCTGTTTCCGAAAGGAGCCCCCTGATGCATTGGGGGCTTCCATATCCAGAACACGCTGTTTCCAAATCACGAAGGGCCTCCAAAGCTATCCAAGAGAACCCTCCATCCAAAGCAGGGCATCTCGGCGAAACCGCAGCCATCCGATGCATGAAAGGGTCCTCCTTTTCCAGACATGGGGTCTCCTGGATATAAAGGTCACCTCTCAACCCAGAGCGGGAGCCTCCTAGTTTGTGACGGAGCCCTCCCGAGCCAACAGAGGGGCCTCTTTGACGTAATATTGGGCCTCTTGATCTAGATCATGGACTACCTTATGCATAACGGTAGCCTCATGATCCAGAAAACGTGCCGCTTGATGTGGAAAAGGTCCTCTGTGCCCGATTTATTACTGTCTAGGTCAGAGGAATTAATCACTGTCTAGGTCAGCTATGGCGATCTGATCTGATCTCATGCTTGATCTGGTTTTTTTGTAATTTACATGCAGCTACAATGCCTCTAGTTAGGGAAAGACGGCCTGCCAGAATTTGTTATGAACAAAAACATACTCTTGCCGCCGTTCTGAAAGGCAGGAGGGCGGGGGTTGGTAACTGCCTCTCCCCCCCCCCCCCCCTGCTGTGCCGCCCCTGAGTGTAAGGTAGTAGGCGCAAGATAGCTAGTGTAAGGTAGCAGTTGTAAGGTGAGAGGTGCAAAGTAGTAATGTTATGGCAGAAGTGTTTTAAAATTTGCTGCAAACGTAACATATATGTGGCAATTTGAAATCGCAAGCAGCTGCCATGGACACATCCATGATCGGCCGCTTTCCAGTCTCTTTCACGGGTCGTCCGTCGTCTTCTCGTCGTGTTTCAGCCAGCGGATGGAGCTCGTAGCAATTGATGATCCAGGCCCAAACCTCGATAATGTTTTACATAAGCTTTTCTGGGACTCCTAAATATAGGTCACCTGTTAGAAATACCGCAGCACATATTCAAGTGTTTCAGGAATGTGATGTGGACTAACGGCCTGCCGTGTCGTTTCAGCCCTCTTAGAAGGTGCGTCAGTCTGTGACGCTTGAACCAAATAAGCTCTTTGTCCTGAGTCACTCCTCACACTATTACCTTACCGCGTTCATTAAAACATGGCCTCCGTAATGACGGCGTCAGTGGCGGACCGTTTCTAACTGAGCGGGAGCTAGTGTGCGCGACCGCCTGCTCCGCTGGGCCCGATTCCTTCCTCCCGCAGCTGGGGCGGCTGGCCAACTGGCATTCCCGCCGCCGGATGGCAGCACCGGTCGCGGCGTCGCCGTCGACGCGCCGCCGTCCGTCGGCAGCGGGCGTGCCGATCGTCGCCGATGTGCCAATATTTGCCCACTTTGTCTTCATCAGAGGAAGCACGACTGGCGCGGGGCCGCTACTGCCCGGCGCGGCGGAGTGTCAGCCGGGCAGCCGCCGGGCAGCCGCCGGGCAGTCGACGGCAGGCAGTCGCCCAACACCAAGCGATGATGGAGGGCCGAGGAGAAAACACTCGTGGGATATTCGTGAGTCCGCTTGCAAAAGCCATTTCTCCATATAACAGCTACGGCTTGACTGGACATGGGCGTTAAAACAAAACCTACATTCGCCCAGGCTTGGAATGTACACAGGTCCAGGCGAGTTGAATATTTTCCTCCAAGCTATTTTGCACCTTTCAGTGTACCGTGAGGGCACTTTGTGTTGTCATCTGAACACTCAGGGGCTTACGTGACTGAAAGGCGTCTGGCTCAACGCGAGGTAAGCTGCCGCTGAGTCCGCAGGACCAAACCAAGAATTGATCCCAAACGTTGGGTCTGATCTTGCTAGAAAGATGCCACCCGGACTCAGCTGAGGCCCGATCTCGCCAGACAGAGGACACCCGGACTCAGCTGAGATCCGATCTCGCCAGACAGATGCCACCCGGACTCAGCTGAGGTCCGATCTCGCCAGACAGAGGACACCCGGAGTCAGTTGACCACACAGGACTGAGTACGCGGCGGAATGATGCTGGCAGGTTTGACTCAGCCCCACTGAGTGGAACTGGGGTGGGAGGAGGTGGGGCTGAGATGGGACTGGGACTGAGACTAGGGCGGGGTGGGGCCTGGGGCTGGGCCAGGCTGGGGATGGGACTGGGGTGGGATGGAGCGAGACATTTAGAGAGCTGGAGGCGGCGGCAGCTGCGGCAGGCGGGGAGGGGGAGGGACACATGGCCATCCGACGCGCCCGGGGTCACTGGTGGCGGCTATTAGCCGTGGCTGGCCAGTCCCACCGGCCAGCTGTCCGGCAGGCCGACGTGGGCGTCGTTGTGTCGGCCTCGCCGGCAGCTCCAACACTGGCCAGCCGGCCCACTGCGGACGCGCTGGGCGGGCTGCCGCGGCGCTGGAGGCTCACCGCTGGAGCTGAGACCGCACCTCCGGGTAGCTGAGGGTGTGGTCAGCACCAGAGCGAGGCTGCGGAGCCGGGATGGAGGCCTCGAGCCAACCTCACGACTGAAACGCAGCTGGAGCCTGAGCCGCTGACTGGGCGCAAGTATCACCTTCGGGAGGAGGTAATCTCCTGAACAACGCGCTCCGAGCAGTAGCGGCGAGAGCCGTCACCAGCAGCGGAGCAGCTGGCGCCGCAGACGCCGACTGTATGAATGCCCAACTCGTGCCAAACACGATTAACTGCTCGGACGTCGCCGATAATCAAGTGGACTGGACGGCTGTGAACCGGCTGCTGCTGCCAAACCGACGGCGCCACCCGGCTGATCAAGTTTAAATTCGACGCCTCGCCCACTGCACAAGCCAGCCGCGCCCGGAGCAAGTGCATGTGGTGAATCATGTGCACACTCACGCCGCGGCTCATGCGAATCACGCCTGGTTCGGGAAAGCCGACGCCGCCTCCCATCTCAGCCCACCCGTGCCGACAGCGAACCAATCACCGGCGCGCGCAACATTCCACCAGCGTGGGAGTCACCGTCGCTGATACGCTCATTATCGAGCGCAGTTATGACAATTATAAATGACGCTGTCATGCCATTTTTCCCGGCGGTGATCACTTCATCGGGGGACGCACGTCAGCAGCGAGGAAAAAACGGGCCGCCGCGCTGATGTCGCGATACGCTGCCGCGCCACTGCACGCCGACACGGACCCGGAGGTCTGCGACTTCCCGCAGCGGCCAGATCCAGCGCGCGATGACGTCATAAAAAACGCCGGCCGATATTGACGACTCACTCGCATTGACAGGTGGGCTTCCCGCGATCCTGCAGCGGGGCGTGAGAGAATGGGTGCGTCTTAATCGGCCGGTGGGCACGAACAATGCCGCGGTTTTACTGGGTCGGAATGCGCCAGGTATGCGCGGCGGTCGCGGCTATCGGCCTGATCGAGCGCCTTTCCTTCCGGTGGTGTCCGGTGGCGGGACGCCGCGCCATCACAGCAGCAGCTCCGGCTTTGACTCACGCGAAGGGCTGCGGGTGCGGCCAGCCTCCCGGCCGGGACGCCGGACCGGCACAGAGCGCACGCTGCGCCAACAGTCTGCGCACGGAACGGAGCGGAGAGGTGTCGTGACTACTCTGATGGTAACTGGAATAGTTTGAGCGCTGAAAGTCACGAGCGTAGGAAAATAAGTCGGTCAAAAGCCGTCTCACTTTGACGTTATGCGATCGCCCTCGATCCGAACGAAACGCTGTCGCCGCCACGCCGGTGTTTGGGCAGCTGGAAGAAAATCGTCAGATACGCCTCTTGTCCGCATACCACTGCTGTAAACACGCGAGGGGCACTCCACTGCCGTGACGGCCTTTGCATATGAATGGCCGAGATCTGAACCGCTAATTGAAAATGTCTCATACAGCGTTTTTCCCCCAAACTTTCTCGGGGACCCAGCCTCTGTCCGGGACAGCCGGAGTGTCCGCTCGTCGGCCGACAGACGTCGCTACTGAACCCCGGCTCGGCACAGCGCTAACGCCTCACCCCCGGCCGTGCCGCGCCAAGTCCCGCCGCAAGCCGGTGTTAACACCGCTTACAGGGCCCAGCCGTCAACAGGTGCGCAGGTGCGACACGAGCCCGGCTGTAGATGCGGCGCGATAGCGCAGCTTGGCCGTCAGAAGTCAGACACGTCGCCGCCGCCGCCGCTCGTGCGGAGTCTGAGGGGCCGGCTCTGCCGCTGGTGCGGGATCTGAGGAGCCGCCGCACGCGACGCGCTCCCGGTCCGCTGCAGATCCGCTGCCGGTCCGCCCCAGATCCACCCTCGGTCCCGCCCTAGATCCGCTCCCGGTCCGTCCGCAGATCCGCTCCCGGTCCGCCGCAGATCCGCTCCCGGTCCGCCGCAGATCCGCTCCGGTCCGTCCCGGATCCGCTGTCGATCCGTCCCGGATCCGCTGCCGGTCCGCCCCAGATCCGCTCCCGATCCGCCCCAGATCCGCTCTTGGTTCGCTCCGCCACAGGGCCCGCCGCTGGCAGCAGCCGCCGAACGAAGCTCGCTGCCACGACAGCGGATGCGCTGCATACCATTGTCGCACACCCATACGCACGTTTCGTTTCCGTTTTCATCCG